ATAGCAAATAATAAAATATTAATACCAAACGTAAAAATTTTCTGTCTTTAATAAATAAATCATTTTAAATAAACAAAAAAGTCGTTAAGAAGTGTTGTTTTTAATTTTACCTCGTAAACTCTTAAATTGCTTCAAGAAATCTCTAAAATTGAAATCTTACTGAAACTTTGAAAGGACTTTTTTACAGAATATACTAAATTCAAGGATGGAAAAAATATTTGTTGAGTCAGTATATACTTTTACATCAGACACCCTGTATATCATAAAAGCGTACATTTGTATAAATACCAGCAGTCTAATCATTATAAACTGAAGCACTGCAGCTCGTTAACCTTTAGAATCATTAATATGCTCGAGTAGTCTAACAGCACTATCAAAGCAGAAAAGCATGGAGGTGTACCGATAAGAAAACTTTGTCAGACTGTTTTAATTATTATTGAACTCTGAAAGTACTTCGTAGCACGTTGACACCTGTTTTGCCGTAAAGTACAGAAGTTCCTATGAACTAAGGAAACCGGAAAATCTACTCATAAATTGTCGCTTATGAAACACTACGGTAGTTTAGCAAATTTTTCTGAAGCTTTAGAGTCGAAAACTATGAAGAAACAATTCAGAAAGTAGAACAATCGATGTTTACCTATTTCTTAATATAAATTGAACATTTTACAAATTGCACATAATTTATCAAAAATAAAATTACGTTCAACATTTCTTAATAAATTGTGAACTTTTCAGAGTGAATATAAAGCAATCATTTCTCAAAGTTGACATTTTCGCAATGGAATATAAATTCACTTTCCAAATTGAAAGTAAATTCAATATTTTTTCAAAGCAATATAACTTGACCTTTTTGTACATCGAAAATAAATGAAGAATTCTTCGAACTGAACATAAATCGGCCATTTTTTAAAATTGAACCTAAAGCAAATATTTTTCATATTGAAAGTAAATTAAATATTTTCTAAATTGTGTATAAACTGATCATATTTTATATTGAAAATAGATGGGATATTTTTTAAACATTTTCAATAGTGTAAAAAAATTAATAAATATAAGCAATAAGCACAAGAAGTTTTTGTATATAATTATTTTAATTAGTAACTAATTGCAATAACACACGGTAGCATGAGCCAAGAAGGCTTATCAAAGCTCGTTAAGACTCCCGTTAACGTATTCATTATCATGTCATCGATGTCAGCGCGAGAAATTTAATTACATTAAATAATTAACGAAAAGTAAACAGAGGAATAACAGTTCGAAATGGATGCTATTAACGTCGTGTCAACATTAAGATCTCTCAAACATTTATTTATTAAATAACAATTTATTAAAAAATTAATTTTATTATCGCTGTAATTTTTCAATTATAGTTACAGCAATTTTTGCAAAAATATATTCTCTATAACCTAGCATAAATTATTTTATTATAACAGTTGAATGTCAAATGTTAATTTTCAGGATGCAACAAATTTGTAAAATGTATATTTGTATATTATTTTAAAGTATAATTTCTTTTTATAAATGTTTAAAGATTTAAAAAATATTGAATTATTAAGCCCCTCGTAGTGATAATTTCTCACACTAAAAATTATCCGTAAATTTATTTCATTAACACAGTAAAACATGTAGCAAACCAGTAAATTGTTACAAACTAAAAACAGTTGAAATTAACACAGGAATATCGAAGATAAAAATAATCTTGAATCAACTACGGCTTTGTGAAAAAATTTCATTCGAGGCACCATCGAAACGTCGTTTACCCAGCATGAAACGATGGATCAGTCGTTGCGCGGTTCACCCCATGCGTCAGGGGTTTGTTTCGCGTTCAAAAACTATGAAAAAAAAAGGCACAGTGGTTTGGGTCGAGTCGGTGTGCGTGTTCAATGCGGAACGGAAGCGTGAACGATGCACGTAGTGGCCGGGGCTACCCCTGGGTTAGCAGGGGTAGGTTCGGGAGGGGGTGAGAAAAGGGAAACGTCGCCGTCGTCGTCGTCGGCGGCGGC